AATTTGCTCTCACCTTCATTGTTTTCAATACACGAAGAAGGTAGCGAAGTTGAAAGAACTCTGTCGCTACCGAATTTAGTCAAAGCGTTGCCCAACAAAGATCAGGAGGCTTGGCTCGACTTTATCGTGGAGGCAGCTGGTAAGTAGCTGTCATCGAAGTCTTTTCCAATGTGGTAATCATCGATGAATGAAAGGGCACCCGAAGAGTTCCAAGAGATGAAATCCTATATTTAAGGTGTATCTGACGCCATCGATATGACTGAAAAGAAACAGCAACAGATGCGAGAAGAAGGATCACGCGGACCTGATGGGACACCTCTTTACTTTACCAAGAAGAACGTCACCGACATCTTTGGCGATACTGAAAGGCGAAAAATTGAAACATTCGAGGAATTGGATAGGCTGTACACTAAGTCACAAGTATGTCAGAATTTTTTGCATCTAAAATTCTTTGAACGACAATTGTACTCTCATTAACTGCGAGGTAGAAAAGGGGATAAACCACATGTAGGGATAGTGAAAGATGAAGCTCTCAGTGCTTCTCGGTACGTTCCGTGGATACGCCACGTTTTTCGCTCCCATTTAGGCTAATAGTGGCCGCAGCTTTATCCTTCAGACTAGTCTGATATCAGTCCATACCGGTTATATGGAAGGCTTACTACATAGGTTTGAGATGAGCTCAAACCAGGATTTGATATGCCAAACATTGGGACCCAGGAACAAAAATGAGGCTCCAGAATTGAGTCACATAGAGTCGCCCGTACAAGCAGGAGATCAAATCCCGGATCAATACGGCCCAAGCCAACCTGCATACCATCTTTCGTAACCAATAAGTTAGCATCCTGCCAGTCATCGATGGTTGGGTCCCAAGCGGAGCTTATGAGCGGCAGAAAAACTCTCTTATCGAACATTCTGTATTTGAATTTTCATCCTTTTTCACTTCCCTTGAATGTTCCAGAGGGAGGACCTGGACAAGCAGGGTTACTCGTACCTTACACTAAAGCAGTTGGACGTTATCTACGGACCCAATTCGCCGTATAACAAGTCGGATTCTCATCGACTGTTCCGCAAGCTACGTCGATTACACGACGATCCACACCATCTGATTGAACACGAGTGAGTTTCAGAAGTGTAAATCTGTAAATTTCGAGCTCACCGATGAAAAAATTTGAATTTTTCCGGAATAAATTCTTTCATTTTCAGTATTCGTGCGTTAGCGGAAGCTAAGAAGTTCCGCGTACGTCAGAAGGACATAGCATTGTCACCCTTTGTGTTGACACCACTCACTGGCGCAGGAGCGGCACTATCGACGACGGTCGTCCTCTCTCCTCTAGTACTTTCACCGATTACTCTTTCACCCGCAGTACTCGGTCCTATTATCCTTTCGCCATGGGTATTCGTTCCCCTAATACTTTCACCTCGTGTTTTATCACCACTGATTGTCAATCCACTTATATTTTCACCGATCATCCTTTCACCTTTAGTACTTCATCCGCTGATTTTGGTACCCGGTGTATTTAACCCAGTCATATTGTCACCTTTAGTTCTTTCCCCACTTATTCTTTCACCTCAAGTGTTTACTCCGATTGTTTTATCACCTCTACTACTCAGTCCTCTCATATATAACCCTATGGCTGGATCACCTTTAGTCCTTTCACCGTTCCTTCTTTCACCAATCATCTGCTCTCCACAGTATTTGTTTGCTGTAGTACTGTCACCGTATGCACTTTCACCCCTGATTCAGTCCAAACTTATTGCCTCAGAGGTCATCCTATCACCTAACTGGCTTTCATGAAACATCACAAAGCTAGGGGTAACTTGTATTACAAACCCACACCGCTACAGGGTCTCACAGAGCGGACTCTTACAGGCCGGGGATCACTGCTGCCCAGGAATCGACTTCGTCGATCACTGCCTCGCAGTTATTTCAATCCGTTGGTCATCGTTGTTTTGTAAATCTTTGTCTTTTCCAGTCATTACCTTATACCTAGTGAAATTCGTGCAATTACAGATTCTCTATCAATTCCGTTGCCAGAATATCCTGCGTCTTTCAGATTTTCCTTCCTCAGACTGTTGCTTTTAATACGTCTTTCCCTCTCCTTTCCTTCCTAACGTGTCTGTACATACTGATAGTGAATAAAGATAATTTAGACTACTATTCTGAGTGAATTACCGACTACTTTTCTAGCTGACATTAACATCAAGCCATCTTCCCTTCGTTTTGAGCTTTTAATTCGAGATTTAGTGGAATTAAAGCATCAAGGATGGAGTTGTCGAAGTTGATCACTATCTTTGATGGGATTGAAGTAAGAGGAAAGGCCAAGAAAAAACATTCATTTTACAAATTTGGCGCAAGCGTCTTCGTCTTGGCCTCTCACCTCGATGGTATCCGACTGATAGGTTCCACTTCCTACCGGCTTTTTCCACATTGTCAAAGGCCACTGTTATGCTCCCTCTCCTTATGTTTAGCAAAAAAA